GATAATGAATACTGACTCTGAGCTTCAAATTTGGCAGGGCACGAGTTTGATTCTCGGTACTTACAGTTAAAAAAAAAATATTTACGAATATTATATACAAAACTTATTTTCAAGACCACTCATGATGGGTATTTGACAATACTCGAAACAAGCATGGTCAAGCAAAAATTCAATTAATTATAATAATAATAGAAAAAGAATATTTGTTGTTGTAGTTCACTCTTTTATTTATATATTTATTTATTTATTTTTTCTTCCCTTCAACTACTATAATTTGGCATCTAGTATTCGTTTTTATTGTAGTAGAAATACAATAATAATTCATATAAATATTAAGAATTACATGTTGTGTATGAAATGTTAACATTGAATAATAGGAATATATTTAAATTAAATAAAATAAGATAATTAAATATTAAGAGTAGATGAGTCAGTAAACAGATGAGTAGAATTGTATTATATGTATGTTAAATTGTTAGTTTTGGGTTGTTATATTGATAGTACTGACGAAAATAAGCGCTTCAAGCGTCTATTATATGTGGCTTCGACATTTGGTAGCTTCCTCATTGCTGAGATAGAGTGGGAGGGTAATTGCATAAAAAATAAAATATGGCATTGAATTGTGAATATGATTTTACTTTAAATTAGTGTGAAATTATTTTAAATATGGTATCCACGATAAACGATTTGATACCATAAACTACCATATCATCATACCGCATTTATTTGCTTTATCTCATATTGCACAATGATTATAGCAACCAGATGCTGTGCAGTATCTATTTAAACGTACCTTAAATTAGAAGGAATAATAATAAATAGTGTCAAACTGCAACACCACTTACTAAATAACTGAAACATGTAAAAAATCCTATTCTTCGTTCAAATAAGCTATTAGAGAATCACACAAACCCCACATAACTGCATTTACGAGTATCCTACATTTTACGCACACCTATTGATTTTTCAATATACATTTCAAATAAACAAGTTACCCTAACTCGTTTAAAATTATTGTAACTTTGCGAAAAAAATTTTGAAACCATAAATTCTCTTTAATCCCAAATAAAATCTCTATTAAAACACTTTGTGTAAGAGTGCAAAAATCTGCACAGATTTCGGAAAGCAAATATTGTAATTTTTAATTCTATTTTCACGGATTCGCACATTTGTGAATGCAGCACCTCAACGTATGTCCATGGGGAAAATCGGAAACTTTGCGCATTTATTTAAATTCGCCCTAATCACTGCAAATAATTGGTTGAATCGAGAATTTGTGGAATGTTTTATTAATTGCACAGGCGAAGAGCTAAATAATTACAAACAATGCAGCAAATGAAATTAATTCATTGGAATATTTTAATTATAAACTAAAGCGGGATATATAAACCCGGCAGGATTTATAGAAAATATTTGAAATTTAATGAATTTACGAGTTTTCGTGCTAAGCATATTTCAGGCTCTTGATGATCTTATTAATGGAGTTTGATTTATGATATTAAAATATTAATACTATAACAATTTACATTGTTGAAAGGCAATTAATCTAGAGAAAAAGAGCTATGGAAAATCAGTCACAAATAAAGAAGAATGCAAAATGAAAATTCATATATGTGCATCAGAACCAGAAACATTAGACCATATTAAAAATGTACAATAAAAATGTGACTTTGACTAAGAATAAATCATGTTGTTACATAGAAGAAAATATTTATAGCAAGTAGTTTGAAAAATCTATTTGAAAAATCTATTTGAAAATACTTGTGAAATAATTTCATTATCTATTCTCAGCACTTCTGTGTAATATTGCTAAATAAATGTAAATATATATACTTTAATTATGTATTTGGAAATGGTGTTGAATTTAATATAAATATAATTGGCTATGGCAAGTTGATTGTTGCCTTTGATAGAATTGGTTTATAAATGAATTAATGACGAGTATTTCGAATAATAATTATTATACAGTTACTTTTTATCAGCAATTCATTTAAATAAATCAATGCGAATGTAAACTTCTTTCCTTTAAATAAATATAAAAACTTTTACTAAAATTTGCTACGAAAATAAAAACTGTAGAACTTTCCAATTATTTAACAATTAGATGTTGCTGTTTTTTATAAATTTTGTTTTTAAATTTTGCTATTGATCACAATCACAATAGACCAAGTCAAAGAACAATGCATCATACATTCACAACTAACCAGATATTTCGAAATTAAAAAAAAACCACGAAGAAGACAAAATACTATTTTTTAGACCATACAAATTAACTTGATTCGGGGTTAGAATAAGTGGGAATAGTACTAATCATATCAACAATCAATTATCTTTGGAACGCTGTAAATTTCAAGTTTCTTTCTTTTATAGATATACTCATTTGAAAATGTGTCTACAATGCCAATTCTCAAAACCCCATGGGTCCATATCTCCTAGGAAAAAAATCACAAAATTTTTTCCCTAGATACGGGTCTTCTTATTTTATAAAAGGAGCTCATAAAAAACTTTCAGCCAAATCGGAGATCATGAGGTCATTTTTTGTCAAAATCCGTCCGATTTGTAAAAGAATAACCCATATACATACTGTAATGAATTATAAAATGAGTTGTAAATAATTTTAAAGGGTCTCTGAATAAGTACCCCGGACTTAATTATCAGATATCACGACGCATAAGTTGCATTAAAGAGAATAATCTTTATGAAAGCAGGATGGGAGGTTTATCATTCCGTTTCGGAGTAGAAGAATTTATTCGTGACAAATGAAAGAGGTGTAGCCAATGGATTCGCAAGGCTTTCAAGATTTAGTACATGTTTCTGTCTTATTATCTCGGTTATAAATAATTTCTGTGGTCAATGTTAGTATGTAAGAGCAGCGTAAGAAAAAAGTACTTACACGCACTTATACTTACTTTTCATGAGTATACTACAAATATTAAAATTTCAGCGCTGGTACACAAGATAACATTGTTGTTGCACAAATTCGTGGTTCTTGTCTGTTTTCTATACAAATGTTTTGCGTTTGTTTAATGCCTGTTTTTCTCTTTTAACTTAACCAGCTCTCAAGACAACTTATAATAAATATAAAAATTACTCATGAAAACAGAATAAATTAACATAAAAATATAACATGCATAAAATGCAACCAACAGAATAACAACTGATAAATAATAATACTATTAGGCCTGCAAAGTTTAATTAAAAAAACCTTTGAATATAAATTTTCAATACGACTTATATGTATGTTTGCAATGTAATTTGGAAATCAATCAAGCAATGAAAAATTAAATGGATATTCTCGCTCGCGTTGACTTGGGCAAAAAAAAATTAAAATTTTATTAAAATTGCAACAACAATAACAACACAAACCAACGCCAGAAAAAAAAGACGAATCACATAGTCACAAATACACATAAAAGCCCCAAATAAAATGCAATTAAACGTGTTTGTTTATCTTTTAAAATGGCGGATTGTGCGCAGGTTAATGTGTATGTAAACCGGTAGCGCATTTATGAATATGTGCCCGGGCAAGTGTTAAATCATTTTATTTCATTGTCGTTAAGATTTAATTCGTCAGATGTTAAAGTACGTAAATTCCAGTATGGCTTATTCGCCCCACTGCCGGAGCTGATGTAGTGACACTCTTAAGTGTGTGTGTGTGAACGAAAGTATTGTGTGAGCAAAGCTCTGAGGCACAATTAAATTTGTTATTGTCTCTTTACTTAATGGCAGCCCAGAGTATGTAAATTTATTTTCTCCTTGCATTTGCATTAAGGAAATGCGTTGATTTAATGCTGACATAAAATGATTATGTTTCATTTAAAAGATACACAGTAGCATTCATTATAATAAATTTTTAAACATTTTAATGAGTTTATAATTTTAACAATTAAAAAAATTTTTAAGTGTAATCATAAGTTGTTTTATTACCAGTTGTCTTAAGTTTTTGAATGGGAAATTAATATGAAAAGATTAAAAATGAAACTATTGGAAACATTTTCAGAGAAAAAGAATTCACAAAAAAAAAGATTTTAAAAACTTCTTTTGTGAATTAAAGTTTTTTATTATATTCTACTTATTAAGGCTTCCTTGTATTTAAAAAGAATAAGATATAATGTGAATTAACATAAAATTTTTTAATTTTTTTTAACTATATATATTACATCCCTTAATATAAAATTTATGAAAAACATCATACGTACGAGGATTTCTTAAATAGTTCTGCGTTCAACATAAAAGGAAAAGAAAATATTAAGAATTCTCCTAATGAAGGCAAAAGCGATTTTGTCGAAATACATATAGATATATACAAAAAATAACGAATCGAAATAAAAACTAAAATTCCTTAAATAACAAAACTAAATTTATTAAAGGAAACGTTTTTAATATTTTTCATATAATAACATCTGTTATATAAATTTATAAAATCTTTCTTAAAAATTGCCTTGAATAAATTTATAATAACTCCGTATAAGAAGTAATTAAATTTAGATAAATCCAAAACTATATCTTTTATAGCTTTTATTTGAAAAATTGGCTCTTTTGAATTTCTATTAACTCTATATTTAAACTTGCGCAAATCTAAAATTATATCCTTTTACAGTTTTTATTTAAAACATTGACTCTTATACATTTTTAATAACTCCGTACCAAGAGTGTATAAGCTTAGGCTTTTCTAAATCCCTTTTCAGCCTTTAATACAAATTTCTTCATATCATAAAATTATAATAAAATATAATAAAATATTATATAATATATATGTTATGCATATAAACAATTAATGTATATACAATATGTTTGTTCTTTTCTTTACAGTTCAATAAAATAATAAAAGACAAACGTAACTGCCATTAAAATTGATTTATTAAAAGTATAATAAGAACAAATCTAACATATGTGCTGCCACTTGAACCTCCTGAAATAGAAATTTAATTAAATAACATAAAATATAAAGATAAACTATAAACGATAGAAAGATATAAATGTTAGAGATATATATATATATATACATACACAGTTCTACATGCACAGTAAAGCAATATGCAATCCAGCACGAAAACCAATTAGAAAGCAAAAGCAAACAGACAGCATATTGAAAGAGAAATATTAGAAAAACTACATATATATATAGATATATATATAAATCCAATACACATACCAAATGAATGGAACAGCGAATGAAATAGCTAAAGATACTACATACTCAATTTGGAAGCACAAATCTAGTGCAACAAAAGCTAAAAGTGTCAGTTGCAGCAGCAGAAGATAGCAACCAAACGACGTGGGACAGCAGCAGGCAAACACAATAAGAGCAACGCTTGTGCAGAAATACAACCGAAGCCGAAGCCAAAGCCAAAAGGAATTAGTTACTATCGAAATTGTTTACATTGGACTAACCACAAAACTAAACTTAAACAATCTAAAGCAACTATTAAATTTTTAACCGCAAAAACCACTGAAACCGTCACCACCATAACCAGCACCAGCCACCAGCAGCAGCAGAAGCGATACCAGGCGCTCTCAGCAGTGAAATCACTAAAGGATACAACTCGACGCAATTGAATTTGGTGTGTAGTTTGTTTAGACTTCGGCGAGGCGTACTCAGCCCACACGTACAGAACAACGCACGCACGCACGCACAGTCAGGCATCAAAGCTCAGAGGGAAATGAGATGAAGTGGTTTCAAGTGGCGATAGATATGATTCTTGTGCTTTCATTTATAACAAGTAAGTAATATATGTCTGTATATTATGCACACTTGCTTACACATATATGTGTAAATACTATATATATATATATGCACATTTATATCCATTTTGCTACATTTAGTACTAAATTCAATTACATTATAATTATTTACATCAACAGTTACAACAAAGTTAATATTACCATAAATGCTTCAATGAATCAATGAAGTGGCATTAATGCCGCATTTGTAATTCCAAATCATATCAACCGGTAGCATTTGCATCATTTTATCTAAATTAGTTCCACTCTGGCATGGCGTGGAAAACATGAATGCAAAGTAGCAATACAATTGAATTAGACTACCAAGACGGACTGACGTGTAAGCGTGTAATTGGCTTGAACATTAATTTCAAATTTCTAAAATGCATAATGCCACAATGATTCCGGAAACCAATGCCAAACCCATTAGTGTTTTACACTTGTGTGGCAATTCATTTGATATTTGCTTTAAATTGAATCAAAGGACAAACTAAATAATTCAACATCATTTACCAGCCACAGACGTGGGCAGCTTGTCTCATCCAAATAGTTCTGATATAGTTTTTGTAGTCCTCAATGACTTAAAGTCTCCTTTATCACAATTTATAAATTTGTTAATGTTTTAAAATTCATATTCCTTGAAGATACATTTGATTGTTTTCACCTATTGCAGTATAATATGGATAGTAATAGTATAATATGGATAAAGTTATTGGAATGTTGCTAGAATGTTATATATATCTTTAGTTGGATGAAATCAATTCTTTAATCTTCAATAAATTGATTTTGTTGTTAATAAGTTAGTGTTTTTTGTTTAAGATTTTGTACTAAAAATGTCACGGACGTTTAGGTTTGTCATAATAACATAAAATATTATACCATATTAATAATACTGCAACTTATTAATGAAAATATGTTTGAATGACTTTAAGTATTTGAAGCAAAGAAATTACTGGAATATTTATTAATATTTAATATATCAACCCATAGAAGTATATTCTTTAAACAAAACGAGCAATAGTTCTGTAATAAGTGCCCATTTACCTATTATTTATGTTAAAAAAAACGAAAAATAAATTAAAGGATACATTCTACGACGGCAGAATATTTCCTGCATATTCCACTTCCTGATAGTTAACGTCGGTTTATAATGATAACAGAAAGTATTAAATACTGCCACCGCAACCAACAAAAGAATTCTTTTGCATATTGCACTTTCTGCAAGCTAAAGTCGGTATTTAAGAACCAAAGAAAATATCAAACGCTACCACCGCAACCAACGAAAGAAATGATATTTCATATTTCACTTCCTGATAGCTAAAATCGGTATATAAGGATAAAAGGAAGGTGTCAAATACTGTTACTGTCACCTAATATAAGGAAACCTTTCCGTTCCACTGGCCAAATATAATCTTAAATTTTATACACATTTTATATAAATCATGAAAATATACGATTGCGTACATCCATAGGTCATTGCCATCTTACTTTCACCTACCATTAGTTATTGTCGTAGCAGCAACTTAATATAATAAAAATATAATAAAAATTTATTAATCATTATTTTCTTCCCTTCATTTACATTAAAATAAATTTATAAAAGAAAATATTGGCATGATGTATGTTAACATAAAGTCAATTCTTTCGAACGCAAGTCCAAGAATTGTTTATATATGTTTAAGTAATTGTGTACCTATACCCTTTCGCATTAAAAGTCATTCAAATAAATGATACATAATAGATAACAGATTATTCTATATTCTTTCTGGGTGCTTTCTTTCATAGATATCTTGTCTAATGCTTTCCAATTCTTTTATTTTGTTTAAGCATTCGCGCTCTTACGGATGATGAAACTCAGTCTCTTAATATGCTAAACCAAAAGAATATCGACTACATGTTTCTGGTTATATTTTTGTTTTCTAAAGTTTAATATATTTTATACTGCTTTTTAAAGGGTTAATCACTGATAAAGTACTCAAATAACAAACGAAATATTTGCATAAACCTTCAAATAAAATTATTTGATATAGTTATTTGAAAAGCTGATAAATTCTAATAAAAAAGTTGTTACTATACACAGTGTATAGTTAAAATTACTAAAATTACTTACTAAATCTAGTTAATTAGGAAAACTTATGTATAGGAAAACCTATGGAATTCAAATAGACTCTTAAGGTAATTAAGAATGTTCTATTAGGCTACTTCTACATCACCTACCTAACGAAATTTCATACCTATGTCAATCGTTTTTAAGAAACTGAGAAGACATCTCTTTAGAAAGTATAAATAAAATATTTTAATTATTTTTTGTATATCTTTCCAATGAAATGTTAACATAAATGCTTTGATTTATGATCATTTGACTTCTGTGTAATAAAAATAGCAATACCAAAAATAATAAAAACTCGCTTAACTGTAATAACTTGAAATGAGTGCATCAAAACTAGTTTCAAATAAACTCCTATTTGATGTAATTTAGTTTTCCAAAAATTTGATACCAACGAAATGACTTGATCTCATAATTAACCGGCATTAAAAATCTTTAGTACAAAATAAAGCTGAGAATAACACAGACTGCGACCAATATAATTGCCATTTCAGCCCTCTTTAATTTTAATATATAATTTTGTTGGTGGGGAGTCTTCACATTTGCAAACATCAAGCACAAAATATGAACTGAACACAGTAGTTATGACTTGCCAAAGTGCAGTTGCTGCACTTAAAGTCAAATAACAGCCAGTGCAGTGCATTTCGTAGATTTTTAATTTATATAGAAATGTGGAATTGTGAAATTGTTGAACTAAAAACAAAGCAAAAGTTCTATGTCTGCGTGCTAAATTTCTAGCTCCTAACAGCGCAACATACATACGTTCCAGAAACACAAAAAATGCCTTGGATTTGTGCTTTATCTTGGCACAGTTGCTTTATTTTGCTTTATTGCCTCAGATTAATTTGAATTTCCGACTACGCATAATGCGCTCCTTCATTCATCGGTGCTCTACCCCTCGAGTACAAATGGTAGAACACAGATTAGATTGCATAATAAAATCTACACAGATGTAATCAGAGATAGGGACACAGACACAGACTCAGCAGATACAAGTGTATGGGAGAAAGTGAAATACTGCAAATTTCATCCACACTAATTTTAATATGTTTTTTTTTTTTTGTTTCTTTTTTTTATGTGACATTTACTAGTTTGAATTTTCATTTCTTAACATTTGCTATGTAAAATTCAAATTTTTTTTCGCTCTTTTTTATTAGCTACTCAAAATATATCTACACAGTAAGAGTGTGTGTGCGCTGCAGATAATGGACAGCATAACAGTGACTAGATACATAACAGTGACTAGATACATAACAGTGACTAGATACATAACAGTGACTACATACATAACAGTGATATCAGTACATTTACCGGAAAACACCCACTTAAACAGATTCAAGTAATTCTATTCGTTGGGTGATTTTTTAATGCATAAATGAGTTTTGTTTGCGTTAATTTAAGTTATTGAATCCAACATACACAATCGTCTCTTCCTCAGCAGTTGAATTTAATGTCATATTTTTTTATTGGTCTTAGGGCTGCTATCACAATCCGTTGCAATATTTTACAAAAATATAAATTCTGACGATATGGCAGCACTCCACAGCTTATAAAACGTTTTTGTTTAATAGGTGGTAAAAGTAGTTATTGTGACACAACCATTTCCGTCGAGTGAGCACAATTCCGCCAATACTGCGTAAAGTCTTTTCCCTCTCCAATCTCTATTATTTTGCGAGTATTGGAGCTGCTTAAAGCTATTTTGATATTTTAATCTACTGGTAGGCATCTATTTAGGTCACTCGCACGTACTTTTATTGTGGACATAATCTTTGGTTTTAGGCCATTTGGATTAATGTGCATTAAAATGTAAGTTAATGCCAAAAACAAATGACAGAAACCTTTTTTACTGTCATTTACACTGCGATTTTATTTCGAAATCTTTTCATAAGGTGTAAAATATATAAATAATATTACACAAGAAATATTTAAAAAACACTTTCCAAAACTTCAAGGTATGTAAAAGTAATTTTTGCAATAAAGTTATTCAAAATAATTAAAGGAAATTTATTTATTTTATGGAAATATTACAAATTTAAAAATTATAAACAAATAATTATAAAAGCAGAAAATTATCACGTCATAAGTCGTAACATGAATATCGGTTATCGATGCCTTGTAGGAAAAATACTATAATATGGATAATATTCTAGTCCACGCTACTGCACCAGAAGATATAACATGCAGGTTGGTCAGCGTGTGTTTGTGTCCAAAGAGGTGGTTTACTGGGTTCTAGTCTCACACGGTGGCTTTCGAAGCTTCCACCTACTGTACAAAAAAAAAAATCGCGTTTTTGTGCAAAAAATTTTTCAACATGGAAAATGGTGGCATGTGTGCACATTGGATTAATTTTAGGCCCAATTTACTCATTGATGTGCGTAGCTTATTTCATATAGTACACAAGGATTTTCGTTGCAAGCTTATATCGGATGAATGTGTTTTTTGGGAAAATAGTGAATTAGAACATTCAAATTATAAAATGGTAATGTTAAGTTTAACTAAAGTAGAACAAATTTTTTTCATACCTTCTTAAAAACTTAATTTCATAAAAATGGAAAGATACAACATATGAATTTACAAAAATATGAATTTATTTGTTTTTTTTTTTCATTTTTATTTATTTTTAATAAAACTTTTCTTTATTTTTTTTTTTTGTATTTCAAAGATTAATCAAACTTTATTTAATATATTCCGTTCAATTTACTTAACAGAGAGACCAGCACGCATTTTAACGATTAAAATGATGCCTCAATCAAGACAGATTGATTGAAAATGTACATCGTTTTTATTTTTTGCTTTTTTGATATCAATTTAAATCTTTTCCGTCAAGTCACAAAAAATAGATTTTGTTCTTTTAACTGATTTGTGATTATTTGCGAAGCCCTTTGAAATTTT